TCTTTGTAAAGTTGTTTATTCTCCATTACTTATGTGTAAATGGGTATATTATTGGTGATGACCTCATTAGTTTATTATGAATATAAATGTAATAATATCAGTGAAGTGCCTAATTTGCTTATTTGGTATTTAGTAATCACAAAATTTGTGTTAGCTATTATCATCTGCTCTGTTCTAATACCCTGAGCCTTCTGTATTCTCCCAGTGCTTTCTACTCCTATCATGAAATCTTTTGCTCTGCTAAGAAACTAATCTGTGTCATATGAGATGTGAGGGGTATTGGATTATTTTTAAATTCTTTTTGAGAGAGGACTCAAATCCAATATGGAGTTAGAGAGTTGAAATAGTATGTAAATATTCCTTTTCACATGTGAAGCAAGCATACATATTTCACAATGTGTGTGGGATAGTAAAATACTAAATGCTATATTTATAATAAAATTTTAGAATGTGATGGCACATAGTTTCATAATCATTTGTAAGAATAATAAGAGCACTGAAATGAGAAGGCAATACCTCAGGGAAAAATTATACAGGGCAACGAGAAAAGAATGAACACAATTGGGAAATCACAAGCGAAGTCCCAGAATGAGACTTCGGTAAAACCCACTACAATTTTAATGTATTATATTATCTAGGTTTTACAGGTAGAGAAGCTCTGTGGGCCAGGGAGTTCTGATTCAAAGACAGAATGATGCTCAAAGAGGAATGTTTCTTGACTAGCTATTCAGTCAGCATGAGTGGATGTGGCCTCATTCACAAAAATTAGGCTTAGTGAGGTGTATGTAAATAATACAAGGTTTATGTTTTAGATTAAAGGACATTTTAAGCCATCAGGACATGCAGTGGACAAAACCTCTCAAACAACAAACTGAGAAATGAAGTGGCTTTTTATTTGGCCAGGAGCTGTGGCAGGCTCATGCCTTAACAACTGATCTCCCTGAAAAGCAGCTTCTTTCCCTTTTTTTATAGGCTTATGACTCTAAAGCAGAAACTGAGGTGAAACTGTGTTATTGACCATTGGCTGGACAATTGACCTCACAGTCTTTGGCTTCATTGATGTGCTAGTTCACATGTGGCATGCACAGGAATAGGCAGGGGAGGGGGCTTACAGACAAGACAAGGGCAGTAAATTGATAGTTGGCAGAGGTTTTATCCAGGAGGGGGTCTGGGGTCATGTAAATGTGGAGGACGTGACCCAGTGCTGGGCTCTGGCTGGTAGGGATAACATTTTTTGCAACACTTTCAAGGTCTATAGGTAGCATAGATGCTGGGAACCGAAAAGGGAGTGATCTTCCCAGTCCTTGGGACTCATTATGGCCTGGTCAGTGGTGTCAGCAAGTCACCTGACACAGATTCCAGTTATTTGGTGTTTTATATCTCTTTGCCCTCCTTCTTATCTGGAGGGTGGAGGTGGAGGCCCATGAGGAAAGAGATGAGGGGTCCCTCCTCCCAAGCCAACATAGAGAACATACTTGTTCTTATTAACTACCAAAGTTAATGATATTTACGAAGGGCTTTCTTCTGCATGGACAACCTCAGTAAGCCCTTACATCCCTAAAATATGTACTGATTTAATTTATCCACTTGGGCTCAGGGTTAGTCACGCAAAGAGAGTTAAATGCAAGGATGAATACTTCGCTCTAGTTCCTTCCTGGTTGTGGTAACAAGTTCATAATTACAACTAATTTAAATTTAATGTTTATGACAGCTAAAGTTAAACTTTAGGTGATAATTAGAGATGAATATCAACTTTTGAAACTTACAGTTAGTGCTTTTTATGCTCATGGCCTTTCAGGTTTTTTTGAAGTCAATTTTGCTTTACAGTAAAAATGCTTCATTTTAACTCACTTCCACTTTTTGTAAATGATTCATATTCTAGCTTTTTAATTAATTTTGATTTTGTCTTTTGAATTCTGAACTGTAGTTATGGTAAAAATAAAATAGTTTGTTAAAGCAATTATATTTAATTCTGAACAACTAATTCATGATCAAGCGGACCAAGGAAGTTATATCTTATGCTAAATGATGTGAAGATCGATGCCATGCAAACGTTCAAACCTGGAACAATTAGTCTCTTGTCTCAGTGGCTTCTTAGAAGGTATGGTGAGGTTGTTAGATTATCTTCACATGAAGTCAGCTGGCTGCCAATAAGTAGCTTTCTCAAGTTTCAGGTGATGTTAAATGTTTGTTTTTGAGGGAAGTAAAACATGTTTTAAGCCTTAATATATTGAAATTAGAAGAATCTTTCAAATGGTCTTTAAATAAGGTAAGAAATTCAAAATTTGCTGATGAATTTATTGCCAAACATGAATATTTAAGATCAAAGTAATACAAAAAGCCAGTGTTAACCAGTAGCAATCACAGCACCAGCTTTCTTCCTTCAGTGAGAGAGAGAAAAGCAAGTTTTATAATAATAATGATATGTAAAATATATTCTTTGCCTCAAGAGTCCCACCTACCTCAGCCTCCCAAAGTGCTGAGATTATGGGCATGAGCCACTGCACCTGACCCAAAAGTTCAGTCCTAGTTTTAATAATTTGTTTTTCTGTAAGTGAAACAATCCTTTATTCCATGACTATTCTGCCATATAGTTACAGAAAGTAATTCGTCTTCAATCCTCCCCACAAAACTTGCTGTATCTGTATGTTGATGTATCTAGATGAATCATGTTGTCTAGCCTAAATATTAAGGCTCATATGTGCTTCTGCACAAGAGCAAAGCTCCTCTTTGTATGATATGCTCCTTCTTTACCTCATTCTATGCAATAAGAACATGTGTTTAATTACCAGAAATATCATCATTGTAAATAATGCGAAGTAATTTATTAGTCTAGTAATACTGATTTTGATTAATTCAGTTCACAAAATCTTAATAATTCTAGAGCCTTGATATGGTTTGGATTCATACTAAATTATAATCCCCGGTGCTGGAGGTAGGGCATGATGGGAGGTGATTGCATAATGGGAGTGATTTCTCATGGTTTAACACCATCCCCTCCCCCTTTTGTTGCTGTTATAAAGAAAGTGAGTTCCCATGAGACCGGGTTGTTTGAAAGTGGGTGGTAACTCTGTCCTATCTGTCTTCCTCCTGCTCGGGCCATGTGAAGTACTTAGTCTCCCTTTGCCTTCTCTTGTCATTGTAAGTTTCCTGAGGCCTCCCCAGACCTGAACCAGATGCCACCATGCCTCCTGTACAGCCTGCAGAATCATGAGCCAATTAAGCCTCTTTTCTTCATAAATTACCCAGGACCAGGCATTTCTTTATAGCAATGCACAAATGGACTAATACAAGCATTCAATATATTTCTGCTTTGAAAACAAAATGAAGTTAAAGTGGAGCCTTGTTTAATGGAAATGCTTTGGACTTCACAGGGGTGAACAGCTATGAAAGCCTAGAAGCAGATTGGTGTTCATGTCCTTATAAGTTAAAAAAAAAAATACCTGAGATACAAGCTGAATGCTTCTGCATATTGATTCTTAACTCACTTCACAGAATGGAGACCTTAAATTTGTAAATCTCTGCAGATCCGTTGCATCATTTCTTACTTGAATAAACCTTGATTCCCTTATGGTAGCTGCAAAAGCTACAATATGTGTTTGTTAAGAATTTGGTTTAGAATCTCAGTTGAATTTGTTTGCTTTATTCTTTTCTGTGAAAAGAATAAATTATCATCATATCCTTTTATCTTGCATTCCTTTTCTGATAATTTCTTCTTATGTTTTTTAAAAGGCCAAGGAATCCTTAGGACAGTTATTAATTATGACTTTCCCATGTTTCAAAAAAGGATACCTCTTTATATTAATCACTTCAAAAGAGATCTATACATGCTTTATAGAGTTTCATTCTGTCCCCAGAATCACATTCTTAAGTTACAAATCCTACTGTCTTAATCTTTGAAGAAAGACAGAATGTATAGATGCACTACTAAAATTCCATTTATAACTGACTTACCTGGAAATAAATATGGCTGTCTATCCTAAACTTCCATTGCATTTTAATAAATGTATTATCTGACTTATCCATTTTAATTTTAAAATATACAGTCGACTCTTAAATAACGTGGGGGTTAGCAGCACTGACACCCTGCACAATAAAAAACCCACGAGGAACTTCTCTTCCTGGGTCCTCAAAGGGTGTGGTTTCAAAGGCAGGAGTTTCCTGGCTCCACACCTCCATTCCGGAACCAGAAGGATTTCAAAAGTAAAGTTGTTTGTCTTTTCCACGCCTAGGTAGGGAAAGAAAGGTGAGGTTCCTTTGTCCCAAAAAAACCCCCAGAAATCTCTGGAAGGAGGGGTTCTGTAACTCAGAGTCACGGACCAAGCAGCCAATCCAGTATCAGAGTCAAAGATCAATCACTCCAGAGGAAGTTTGAAATAACTCCTCTCGTTGGATGATAACGTGAATGGAGAGGGAATAACCCAAGGGTTAAAACTCCAGCTGCTCCTACCTATACAGATTCGTTCTCTGGGTCACCTCCCATGAGAAAATGGGAGCAGTCTTTGTTTCTCTCTCTCTCTCTGTCTAATTGCTTTTCCACAAACCTCTTTGGGTCCGAGATATTTATTTCAATGGCAAACTCACTGTACATTCAGGGCCCCTTTCCTCATTCTTCGGGCTCAGTGAGGCTAAGAACCTCTTCTGAATAGGGAGCTGAGTATGCGCCCGGGTTGCATCCATATATGACTTTCAAGTTTTCAAAAACTTAACTACTAATAATCCACTGTTGATTAGAAGCTTTACCAATAACATGGACAGCCAATTAACACATTTCATGTTTTATGTATTCAACACTGTATTCTTACAATAAAGGAATCCAGAAAACCAAAAATGCTGCTAAGAAAATCAAAGAAAGAAAAAATATCCTTACTGTCTTTTAAGTGGAAGGGAATCATCATAAAGGTTTCCATCATAATAGACTTCCTGTTCACTAGGTTGAGGTGAATGAGGAAGAGTAGTGGTTGGTCTTATAGTTTTAGGGTGGAAGAGACAGAAGAAAATCTGATTATGAAGTGGGCCTGCATAGCTTAAACCTCAAGGCTCAATTGTAGTTGTTTTTGTTGACTAATAATCTTCCTGTATTCACTGTGGGTTTTATTCAGAAGTCATGGTGGAGTTTTATTTGACACTCATTTTTATCAGGTACAACAACTGCAGCACTTGATGGATAAATGAGAACACATGGACACAGGGAGGTGAGCATTACACACTGGGGTCTGTCAGGGGGAAATAGAGGAGGGACAGTGCCGGGTATGGAGCTGGGGAGAGACAGCATGGGGAGAAATGCCAGATATAGGTGGTGGGGAGGAAGGCAGCAAATCACACTGCCATGTGTGTACCTATGCAACAATCTGCATGCTATTCACATGTACCCCAAAACCTAAAATGCAATAAAAAAATGATGGATCAGATAAATAATCAACTTTTCAATTTGATCTAGCACAATCAATTAATCTACTATAAAATTACAATTTGACATAATATATTTACAATTATCTAGTATAAAAATGAAGCTTCAGAAGACTTACATAACATATAGATCTTGAAAATTCATTTCCCTTTTATTAGCATAATTGGGAATTCAAATAATAATTGATTTTGAAGACCTCTATTCTCCAGTTTAATCATTTTATTTCCCAATATTTTAAATAAGGCAGTACTTTTGTTTTATGGTCATTTATGCATGTAGATAATTGGAGGAATTTATGAAGGTTAATCAAATAACCTTTAATGTTAACGTAATCCAAGATACTTGGTTTCCTTAACTCTCACAGTAGGTATCACCATCTGGCTTTTTCATCAGTTAGGTGCTCTCCTCACATATGTTACTGGAACAAAAGAAAGGACTCTGATTCTGGAAAATATGCTCTTACTCATTCTCTGTGAACTGGGCCTGTTCAACATTGGAAGGTAAGTAAACAGCTATATTAGTTGACTTAATAATTTTATATTAGTTATTAAAATCTAAACTTCCCAAAACAATCATTTACACTTTCCCTAGCCTTAGAGCATTATAACACATGCTAAAATTCTAAATATTTTCTTTTTAATGTGACATGACAATAGCAATTGCAAAACTACTTAAACCATCACTTTCCTTTTGAACCATATCTTGATTAATTTTCTGAAAAACCCAGAAAAAAGCAAGTATATGAAGTTCAAAGTTACAATTTGACATAATATATTTTATATATATATTTATTTATATATATATATATTTTATATATATATATAAATTAAATATATATATATATTTATATAAATATATATATATAAATAAATATATATATATATTTATATAAATATATATATAAATAAATATATATATATATTTATATAAATATATATTATATATATATATATTTATTTATATATATATATATATTTACATACTTTCCTGACTAAGTATGTAACAATGAGATATTGAGAAAGGTAAGTATGGATTGAGAATTTATTATTTTTTATGATTGATGCTAGAAAATGTATTCTATGCTTTCTGGCATATGGCTCAAAATTTAAATTGTTTACCTCTAGGTTTGAAATACTGTTTATATCAATTTAATATTGTGAATGTTCATTTGGTTGATTTTGATAAAAACTGTTTTTAAATGATAGCATTTAAAATATACTACATATTTTACATCAATTCCCCTAATTATTGGCTTAATTATTGAAAAATTATTTAATTTTTTAAATTAAATTTTAGACTAGCAATAACTTCTTTTTCTTTTTCTTTTTTTTTTTTTTGGCAGAAAGAATCTCTGACATAGAAATAAGATTAGCTTCTCTGCCATGGTAACCCCACTGCTGACTTCCAAACTATGGGAAATTATTTTTCACAAAGAAAAAATCCTTAATTACTAACCAATAATTTAATCCTGAAGCCAAGAACAGGAAGTCAGGCTTTGGCTCTTAGCAATGTTCCTTAACATCATTGGGAATATTATGGTGAGGTCTGTATTTTCCTTTTTTTCCTTTTTTTTTTTTTTTCAGGAAAGAAATAGTAATTATTTTAGACAAAATGATCAGGGAAATCCTCTCTGTAGAGTTTTTTTTTTTCTTTTTTTTTAATAGAGACAGAAAGTAGGGTAGTGGTTGCCAGGGGCTGAGGGAGGCAGAAATCGGGAAGTGTTTTTTTTTTTTTCTTTTGAAAGGAGAAAAGGAAAGAAAGAAAAAAAGGAGTAAAGGAGAGGAAGACAGAGGAAGAAAAAGAGGGAGAGAGAATGGGAATATTGCTTTATTCTAAAAATGGGTATTAATAATGGCCAATCAATATTTTGTGTATTTAAAGTGGAGAATGTATATTTTGTGTATTTAAAGTGGAGAGCTCTATAAATATTTATTAAGTTTACTTGTTCTGGATCTGAGTTCAAGTCCTAGATGTACTTATTAATTTTCTGTCTCATTGAGTCTAAATCTCTTTATGGGTCTTATGTATCTGGGTGTTAGGATTATTAGGTCTTATTGTTGCATTGATCCTTTTACCACTATATCGTTGTTGCTTTGAAATCTATTTTATCAGATGTGATAATTGCAACTCCTGCTTTTTATTTATTTATTTATTTATTTTTGCTCTCCATTTGGTTGGTAAAGCTTTTCCCATCCCTTTGAGTCTTTGTGTATCTTTGGATGCGAAATGGGTCTGGATGTAGCATGCCGTTGGGTTTTGGCTATATCTTTTGATTGGGGGATTTTGTCAATTTAAATTTAGGGTTAATGCCATTTGATTTTAACTGGCTATTTTATCCATTCGTTGAGGTAAATTCTTCTTTATGTTGATGCTCTTTACTTCTTGGTATGTTTTTAGAAAGGCTAATACTGGTTGTTCCTTTCTATGTATAATGCTTCTTTCAGAAGCTCTTATAACGGCGGCCTGGTGGTAATAATATCTCTGAGTACTTGCTTGTTCATAAAAAAATTTATTTTTCCTTTAATTGTGAAGCTTAGTTTGGCAGGATATGAAATTCTGGGCTGAAAGTTCTGTTCTTTAAGGATGTTGAATATCGGCCCCCACTCTCTTCTGGCTTGTAGGGTTTCTGGTGAGATATCTGCTGTAAGTCTAATAGGCTTCCCTTTTGGGGTAACCTGACCTTTCTCTCTAGCTGCCCTTAGTATTTTCTCCTTTGTGTTAACCCTGGTGAATCTAATGATTATGTGCCTTGGGGTTGCTCTTCTTGAGGAATATCTTTGTGGTGTTCTCTGTATTACCTGGGGTTGAGAATTGTCCTGCTTTGCTAGATTGGGAAAGTTTTCCTGAATAATATCCTGAATAGTATTTTCCAACTTGGATTCATTCTCTCCGTCACATTCAGGTACATGTATCAAACGTAACTTAGGTCTTTTCACATAGTCCCATATTTCTTGGAGACTTTGCTCATTCCTTTTTATCCTTTTTTCACTATTCTTGTCTTCTCGTTTTATTTCATTAAGTTGGTCTTCGACCTCTGATATCCTATCTTCTGCTTGATCAATTCAGCTATTCAAACTTGTGCATATTTCGCTAAGTTCTCCTGTTGTGTTTTTCAACTCCATTAGTTAGTTTATATTCCTCTCTATATTCTCTATTCTTGTTAGCATTTCGTCAAACCTTTTTTCAACGTTCTTAGTTTCTTTACATTGGGTTAGAACAAGTTATTTTAACTCCCAGAAGTTTCTTATCATCCACCTTCTGAAGCCTACTTCTGTTAATGGAACACAGTCGTTCTCCATCGAGGCTTGTTCTGTTGCTGATGAGGAACTGTAATCCCCTGTAGAGGAAGAGGGGTATTCTCAGCCTTTTTAGGCTGGTTTCTTCCCTTTGAAGGAAACCGTCTGTTGTCTTTACCGCCTTTCTAATTAGGTTTCTGAGTGGAAGTCCAGTTTATTGATTCCCAGTGCTGGAATCCAAGCAACCCACTGCACCGGCCAAAACAGCAGCGATAAGACTGATGGTGCTCTTCTGTCCGGGAATCTCCAGTCTTCCTTCTTAAGTCCGTAATAAGTGTCTCTGCCTTCCTGGAGCTCCAAACATCGGTCAGAAGGGGAACCAGTCCCGTTTACTCTGCATGAAGAGCTACCTCATCGAGGTGCCAGCAAAACCACTGTGCCGGCCACAAGAGTCACGCCAGCCACAAGAGTCGCACTGGCGACCCGTGTGGCTCCTCCACTGGGAATCTTCTGGTCTGTGAGCGATAAAAATTTGTCTGAAAGTGTGGCGTCCTCTCATTCTCTGCACTTTCACTGGGAGCTACAATCCTGAGCTGTTATCGATCAACCATCTTGGATCTGCTCTTTTTTTTTTTTTGAACAGAAGCAATGTAAATGTTTTAATACAAACAATCCCATAGCATTTATTGACATCTATGATAACATAAGGGTAATCAAATCAATATGAATAAATGTTCACACTGGACAAAAGACATCTAAAAACAATGTATCCTTCTCAACAATTTCTCACTTCATGGATCATTTCTAGTTGGAGACACTTTGTAGCAGAGTAATATTATCTCCTTTTAGCATGATCCGACCCAGCTGTTTCCTTGACTTTGTTTTAAACTTCTGCCAAATTTATTTAATTTTTTAAAATTAAATTTTAGGCTAGCAATAACTTCTGCCAAATTCTATATAAAGTTTTCAATTAGAAAATGAATTTATGAGAGGTGAAAATTATTATTTTAATTTTATAGACTCAAATTAACTATCTTGATACTTTTTTAAGTATTAAGTACTTTTCATTCAATATGTTTAAACTTTAAATATCTGCTTTCCAGAGCATTGAGAAATACATTGAAAATATATTGGAAAAAATCATTATAAATGACTTTATATAACTATATATTTGAGAAGATTTAAAAAACATATGGTATTATATAACATACATATTATAGGGCATTTTCTATCTAAATTACATTCACTTAACTGTTAGCTTTCAGGCCAAAAGCTTGTAGTTAAATTTATTACTTATATGGTATGGGGTAGTACTTAGTCTCTGGTAAATAAATATGAATGAAGCATTAATCCTGATCTCTAGGTTTTCACAGGCTCTAGTAGTAAGTGCATTGTTAAATTTTATATTATGTTTTTGGCTATTATCAAAGGCCTAATGAAGAAATATGCAGATCAGGCTATTTAAATTTTTTTCTGGAGATTTGTCTTAAGAATTGTTACTAATTTTCTTTTAGTTTATGTTATTTATAGTACAAAATCTTGTTAGAATGTGTCATCAGAAAAATTGCAATTTTCTAAATATGTTGCTTTTTACCCCCTATTTTATGCTTAGACCTATATTTTGTTTCCATTTGTTCTGTGGCTTCAAGGAATTTAAAAAGTAATCCTGAGATTCAATTTGTAAATGAGTTAGCTTGTTTTTCTAAATCAGTATAACATATATTTCTTTAATTTTCTTGTTCCAGTATCTTAATTTGAGCTTTTGCCAGAAATACTTTTGGGAAGTAAATAAATAAATATATAGCATGTGATAGTTCAGTTGGCTACAGAAAGCTACTTTACTTAAATATCATACAATGGAAAAATTTGTCTAGAATAATAGAACTAACATACATTCATACTTAGTGAGCACTTGCAATGTCTCAGGTATGGTTAAATATGACATAATGCCTTATCTCTAGGAGCTATTAGCCAAATAAAAGAGAATGAAAAATAGTATAGAGCTAATATTACTGGCACAATGTATCTATTTAAGAATAGAGGGGAAAGGCCTCCCTGAGGTGTTCCTGCCTCTGCTGCACTGTGAATGGTAGTAGAAGTTAGCTTCATGAGGAAGAATAGAACTGTGTCTTAAGAAGTAAGAATAAGATTTCCAAGGGAAGGAATCCGTGGAAATAAAAGTGGTAAATAAAGTGCTTCCGAATAATTGAACCAAATTAGCATTTGAAGGAAGGACAGTGCCTGAAGAGATAAAGAAATTTAAA